AACTAGCATACAAAATATTATGACAACAGTCATCCTTCAATTCTACAAAAATATTTTCACACAAATTACAGACCTACTACTATTCATTACCTCAATAATCAATCAATTACAGGCCTAAAATAATCATGTACAGCACTGATTTTCTTTCCCTTTTCCAACAACATAAAACACAGATTTCCTTTTAACAATATAGCCAACACAGGGTTTTTCCTGGCTCAAAATGATGCGGAGTTGGTAAAATCGTAACACTAGGGGGGTCCGGGGAGAAAATTATGTACATTTTAAAGATAAATTCATTAATCTGGTGCACTTTGAGTCACTCGAATCTGTTGTTAAAAATAAATAATAATCCACCCGCAAACCACCCATATTCTTTGATTTAGATATCTGAATCTGATCATCACATTACAATTGTTCAATTAAGCATGATAATATGGTAACATATCACACTGAAGTAGGCTGATTTAAAATGAACATTTATTTAAATTTAAAGTTCTTCTTTTGGCAAAATTACATTTCCTTTATAGCCTAAACAGAGGCTTTAGCCTACTCCCTTTAACCCTTTATGACCTGCCATAGAACAATTCCACCAGAGTATATCTTTGTATTTTTACATGCTGTGGTGTCATTCTTTTGAGCATTTTCATATGCCATACATCAAAATAATCCTTACTCTCCCAATTTGAAGGCTATGTTTGTAAAAAATCAATAGTAACTAGATAAATATCTCAAAAGTGCAATAAACAAAAAGAAAAACAATTTTAATTATTTATTTTTTACATATTTTATTCAATACAAAAAATGGATAAATGTCAACCTCAAACTTGTCAATGTGAAAAACGTACATAAATCAATTTACATAAATTAGTTTTTAAGATACACTCATTCAAAAAAAGGGAGGGGAAATGCCATGTAAAATATTCAATTACATTTGTGGTCAAACAGATAACATTTTGCTTTTGAATATTGATTGAACATTGAATTGGTTAAAATATAAAATAAATAGATGAGCAGACGTATAGTTCATCATCATCGGACGCAATTAGAATTTCCAAAACCTCCGCGTCCGTGTACTTTCGTTTAGACATAACGTTGCGTGCGTGCGCGCACGCGTGTGTGTGTGTGTGTCAATGTGCTTGTATTTGTGAGTGTCTAAAGGAGAAAGAAATGATAAAATAAAGCAATGGTAAAAAGACAATAACGATAAGAAGGAACATATAGCAAATGGGAGTCAAACGGGAGTCAAACGTGTGATTTTTTTCCCCCAAACCACTTTAGCGGAAATCCCGCCCTGCAGCCGATTTCATTGGTTTAGGTTACAGTGACGGGTAGGTTTAGGGATCAGTGCTTGGTGTAGGCAATCTGTACAGTGATTGACATGAGCAATGAAAACTTTAGAATCGGCTGCAGGGCGGGATTTCCGCTGAAGTGGTTTGGGAAAAAAAAAATCACGCGAGTCAAACGCATGGTCAAATGACGCAGCTTGTGACGTCACAACATGCGACACACCCGGGGGTCATAGTGCACAGAACGTGATACGTCAATGAGCCATCGGAAGACGTAACTATCAATCGCAGATCTAAAGAACATGTGTGCAAAGACGTGCAATGCATTTTTGTGGGTTTTTTTTTGTAAACGCATATTACGCAGTTTGTACAGACTGATTAGAGGGTGAAAACAACGCAACATGGGCATGTTGGAGGCTTGATCTGAACATGTTACATCTCTGGTTTTGTATGCAAAAAGAATGATTGAGCTAGCAATTTGGTTTCAGTTTCTATAGGCTTTTAAACAGACACACGCAAACGGGAGCGCCGGCGCTCCCGTCGGTCTTAAGGTGATGATACACAGGGCAACTTTTTGAGCAATGTTGCTGGGCAATCTTGCCGAGCGATTGTTGCTTGGGCACTTTCCCATTGAAAATGGGCAATACATTCCTATCTGGATAATTTAGATCGGTCGTGGGCCCTGTGTCTTATCTGGTTGCCCGTTGACGGCAACATTGCCCAGCAAGATTGCTCAAAAAGTTGCCCTGTGTATCATCACCTTTAAAGGGTTAAACTTAAATTGTCAATGTTTCATTTTTGAAAACACTCTTATCGGAATAATTTTTTGTACCTTTATAAAGGGCATTTTCCCCCTAATTTTATTTAATGTATGCTCTAAATTTCATTTCAAATTCTTACATTTTATCAATACATCAATTAAAATAATAAGACACTAGGCTGTTAGCAATCAAATTGAAAAATTATAACTGTGTTTAAATGAGATTATGAGATTGTTTTGAAATTTTTTTGAATATACAAATAAGGAATGTTGAAAAGAATGATACTTTGAAACTAAACCGCCAGTAGGAGGCGGCAGGCGCCCGTCTTATGAGCGAGTCATTGAGTCATTCATTCAAACGATTCGTTCAAACGGCTGATTTATTCAAAATGAGGCGGTTTAATAATGGGTAATTGAATCTTTGACTCAAGCGATTAGGTCAAAACGCTGAATCTATCGGTAATGGATCATGGATGCTGTGAGATGCGCTGGTTCTGTTGTTTGGAACTATTTTTGCTGCTGAAACAGAACAACAACAGTCAGCGTCTAAAAATGTAAGTAACTTTAAACTTAATTTTAACTATTTGTTTATTGAACTGTTATGAAATCAATATCTTGGTTTCAATCGCGATGGCATTCACAGGAAAACAGCACTCTGGTCGTGTGTAGCCTATAACGTTATATTGTTTCTTAACTATAAATTTGACAGAGGCGGCCGCCTCATAATTGTCTATGCAGGAAAAACCCTGCAGATGACTACTCCCTCACCGTTGTGCCGGTTGTGCCATCGTTTCGTTAGCTTGCGTATCGTTAGCTTGCCTTGAAGAGCTTGATGTGAGCGTAGTGTGAAGTGGCCTTGTTTATACCATAGACTGTAAAAAGGTTTATACTCGACGCGTCCGCATGAGCCAAAAATGACGTCATTGTAACGGCGCGCACGCCTCCGGATCCCCTAGACACCATTTACTACACACAGTAGACTCACACATGGTGCATTTTTAATTAATAAGTAATAATGAATAAAAATATTGGTGTTTTTTCTCTGATTTTGAAAACTCTTCGCGATCGACTTAAAATGCTTCCAAGATCGACTTGTCGATCGCGATCGACGGGTTGGTGACTCCTGTGCTAAACCATCTCATTAAACAGATTAATGTCTTTTCACAAAATAATTGTAATATTCTTTCTTTCTTTTTTTTATTTTGTTTGAAGTCACTGGATGAATTTTACTAACAGTCTTTGTCAGGATAAAACCAATTACTCTCATTGTCAGTTAAGGTCGAGTGCTTGTTTTGAGATTGGCAGTGAGATGGCTACAGCAGATGGCATGAAATTATCCATTATACAATCATCTGACATTCACCAGCTAATGCCGAGTTCAGACTGCACGATTTTAGCCCCGATTTTGGCTCGCCGACAGGTTTTGAGAAATCGCCGACAAATGCCCGAAAACACAGGCAAATCGGTGCTCGTTCACGCGAGTGACAATCACGCAGTGTGAATGAGCAAAGACGTGATCTGAGAGAATCGCCGACAAGTCGCCGACGCCCGTGAGATATTTGGCATGCTAAATATCTGGACCTGTCGGCGATTCACAATCCTGCTGTGTGAATGTGTTCTGACTGAAAACTACATCGGCGATGACCTAATATTTGGAGTTATAGACCAGAATATCAGTATTTTAATAGATAGGCCTATATTTACAATTATATCAAACAGAAACAAAGCACAAACGTTTGCATGACCAGCAGCAACAGCAGGACATTTGCAAAATAATTTATTTACCCCAACTCTCTTTGCAAAACACAGTCCTTGCTCCCCTCGTCTTCCCAACCATTTCCTGCATAAACTTTTTTTTTCTTTTTTTTTTTTGCTACAAATCAGTGCACATACAAATTGTAGGCTATCATTTTTAATAACAAATTCAGTGTCGCGTGAGAACTCCGGTCTCACGCACGCGTGATCTTCCGTTATTTCCTATCACTTCTCGCGTTTGTTTGGTTGTGAAACGTAGTTTGCGGACCAGGCAGAAGTTGTCGGCGATTCTTTCTTTTGTAAAGTCATGCAGTGTGAAACCTCCTGTCGCCGATCCATCGTGCAGTGTGAACACAGCAGCAACTGAATGTTACCCCAGATAGTCATGCAGTGTGAAAACAACAGTGACCCGATTATTTTGAAAATCGTGCAGTCTGAACTCGGCATAACACAAACAGAAATATCTGTACACCTTTCAGCTGTGACAATATTCTAACATGAGATTAAATCAATGAATGAATAAACATATGAATAACAATGTAAAGTGTGTTGCATCATTTCAGTTTATTTAGAACCATCACATTGATGCATTAAACATATAAATGAAGTTGTCACAAATTTGTGAAATAAATAGGTGGTTGAGTGTGATTTTTCATTATTTCTCTTCTCTTCAGGTTTCCACTGGTGACTCGGCAGATGTCACCTCTACCTCCTGTGAATGTCCTCATGGACAGGCCCGGCCCGTGGCATAGGCAAAATGAGTGAACAAGTGAATTTTTGTATTAATTGTTTTTTTACTAATACTATTTTAAAACCATTAATTCGAAATACTACAAAATAAAGCAAAACAACAACACAAAAACTTAACTAAGTCCCCCGACTCCGGTCCGGCGCATCAATCTTCCCCCGCCCAGCGAGTGCTTGAAGTGTGTCAGAAACAGAGCGCACACGATCAGTTTACTGTATCTCGCAGGCAAGGTCTCCCTCTCTCTCCGCGCTACCCGGTTTGGCGCTGACGCACATACAGTGTTCTGTCTCGCATGCGCAGCTCTAGATTCTAGGAGATTTGAACTAATTTACGTGTCGTGTTGCTGTTGTATCAGTCAGATCAGCGTAGCACTCAATAATCGGGACAAGAGAGGTCCCGATCGGGACAAATAAATTAGGCCCAAAAATTCGGGACAGTTGGCAACCCTAACTCAAACACTCCCGTAGAAACGGGCCAGGCAGCTCGCGCCAGGTCTAGACACGGTGAAAGTTACCTCATTGCTGCTGAAACAGAACAAAAACAGTTCACATTAAAGAAGACATTTCGCAGTTTCATTCATGTTGAAAACATGAAACGTGCCAAAATTTTGTGGAAGATTGCTGCCATCAACTCCCAAGCAAACACTTTTGCTTGTGCTCAATGAATAGTTTGTGCATGAATTACATTTGGACGATGACATCACTGTTTTATCCAGAGCGGCTATATATAAATTAAATAAATTCATATTTTTTTACAACAAAATAAACCATCACTGAACATACTTAAGCTTGATTATGACACTATTTTCTTCTAGATCTGCTGTACAGGAGAAGCAAACTTTGTTGCATTATTTTCCTGTTATCACTGTAAAGCTGCCTTGAAATTGAAATAATCTGTATTGTAGGCTAAAAAGCATCATATAAAAATAAAGGGGACTTGACTTGAATGCTAGATGTAATGCTCTTGCTATATACATATATATATATATATATATATATATGACTAAATAATCACCAACACAATGATGGGGTGAAATGAGCTGTAATGCATGGGGCACACTGCAAAAAATGCCTTTCTTGAAACAATCAAGATTCACTTGAATCTAGTTAAAGTGAACTAAAATCAAGCAAAAAAATCTGCCAATGGGGTAAGCAAAACCGACTTGATAAGAATTCTTGAAAATAGCATAAATATCTAGTCACTGATAAATGCAATTGAATCTTAAAACTAGACAAAAATGCTTAAAACTATGCAGTTTTTACTTATTATAAGAAGTGAATAATAAATAAATTTAGCAAAAATTGAATTAAAACTAGAATACTTTATCTCAAATCTAATCACTAATATACTGTTGGTCTTAAAACTAGACAAACATGCTTAAAACTATGCAGTTTTTACTTATTATAAGAAGTGAATAATAAATAAATTTAGCAAAATTTGAATTAAAACTAGAATACTTTATCTTAAATCTAATCACTAATATACTGTTGGTCTAAAAACTAGACAAACATGCTTAAAACTATGCAGTTTTCACTTTTTTTAAGCACTGAATATTAAGTCATTTTAGTGAAAATTGCATTAAAACTAGAAAATTTGACCTTAAATTCAGCTTATTTAGATTTTCTTTAAGATGTGAGACCTAAAAATAGATAAATATTCTTGAAACAACCCAATAAAGAAATATAGTACAAATATATACATTTAAATGAATAATCAAACAACATATTCAGTTTTGCTGAACATTTATTAAAGAACATCCTCTTTAACAAATGGAGCATATAAAGCAGGTTGAACTGATTCATAGGCTATTCAACTGACACTTGAAAAAACAAAAAAACATGGCACATCAACAGCAAATGTTCTGCATAAAAAAGCTATGCCTCAGTCTGTAAGCTGCATACACTGTATAACCTCAAACAGTTTTAAACAGCAATTAGTTTAATGCATGCATTGCAATAATACAATTGATTTAAGAAACACTGAAAAAGCAGGGAAATCTCATAATAGCACAAATCAAGTTCAAATATAATGGGGAACAAAACAAAAAATAAATAACAAGAAAATACTCCATCACTACCTCAGCCATATAGGTTTGCAACTATTTATTCAACAAACATTTTCCATTCATGAATGGCCTTTTTATAAGAGGGGGTTGCATCCTGCTCATGGAGGACATCTACCAGAACTTCTGTTTGCAACACAGACAAGAGTGTGGCAATACACTTGGGATAGGTCAGGTGGAATGCATAGTAATATGCCAGGAGGTAGAGAAGCCCCTCGTGGAGCAAATCTTTCTCAAAGGTTACAACTGGAGTTGTACCGGCAACCACCATGCAGTTCTCCTCACCAACCAGCAAAACAGGACTAGAAAGCACACGCCGGTGGACGAAGGTATCAGGGTCCTCTGAGGGCTAGAAAACCAAATATATAAATACAGAATTTAGACTACAAACACAGCAAAAAAGCTAAATAAGTAGTCAAGTCACCTTCATTTATATAACACTTTTAACAATATAGACTGTTTCAAAGCAGCTTTACAGTGATAATAGGAAATTAAAGTAACAGAGATTGTTTTGGCTTCACAGCAGCTCTAGAATAAAGTTATTGTCCAGTCCATTTGCATAACAACAGCGTTTGGTAAAATAATGTTTGTTTGTTCCAATGACAGCTATTTAATTAACACTTTGAAGTCCCAGAAAGGCATGAAAGACAACATTAAAATAGTCCATGTGACTACAGTGGTTCAACCTTATTTTTTTTTGAAGTGACGAGAATAGTTTTTGTGCACCAAAAATACAAAATAATGACTTTATTCAACAATTTCTCACCGTAAGAATGTGGAAAAGAGCCTCACTGATTGGGACCACTTTCTTGGGTACTGCAGAGCCAGATGGGAAGAGCAGTGGCAGGGCGGTAAAAACAGCAATGGCATGTTCAACTAGTAAAAAAAACACACAAGAGAGGAGATCTATATTGATATGTGCTAAGAAATGTAACACTTTATAACAAGTATAGAGTAATAAAGTACTTGCAAATCATTAGCAAACTCTTAGTTTATAATTAATTCATAGACCATATATTGTAGTATCTACATTGCTAATATTTCAATAGGCTATATACAAATAGTGAGTTCATTGTCACTGTAATTAACACAATTATTATTGTTTAATTAGCTCATTGTAAACAAATATTTGATTGGTTATTAGGAGTAAATTGTTCTCTTTAGATTGAGAAAGGAAAATGGAAAATGTAATTAAGTGCTTTAAACCAACCTTTATTAGACATTAATTGCGTTCATATTCAGTGTTACTTAAAATGTTTACAAATACATGTAAACAATAAAATACCAATACAGTGAGCAGTTAACTAATTAATAGTTTGCAAATGATTTGCAAGTACTTTATTACTGTAGGCCCCTTTTTATTATAAAGTGTTACTGAAATTAGGTGTGGGTATTATCTATAAAGAATCAATCAATCAATAAAATACAGCTTTACCTCCATTTAATGTCCTTGGAGGCTTCATGACTTTCTTCATGACACCATAAAACTGAACCTTGGAGTAGAAGGTCTCCCACCTGCCTTTCACCTCAGAAATGTATTGGCAATTGTTTGGCTCAATGATTCTCCGCAGTTCATCCATTGTCTGAGAGAAATAATTATTGAAAGTGATAAGAATCATCAACCTGGAGTGCGTTTCCCGAAAGCATCGTTATCCAACTATGATCGCAATTTCCATTAAACTCTATTCGTAACGACGGAACTTGCGACCATAGTTGGCGAACGATGCTTTCGGGAAACGCACCCCTGTATGTCTGCAGTTAGGTAGATGATATGTTTTACATCAGTCTAAACTATGCTTCAGATTACTCACATGGTCCAGTTCTTTGAAGCACGGGTATGCCTGTAAAATTTGTGTGGGTCTGTCTTGCTCCTTCAAGGCATTTGAGTCAATGAAATTTCTTCTGGACTGGAACTCCAGGTCTAATAGATGAGTTACAGCAGCTTTGTTTGGCTTCTTTGCTTTGTACATTTCTCGTAGAGTCCTGTAATGTCGTGCCTGTGTTTTCTGGCTGTCAAGGCTGTTGTCTGGACCATCGGCTATAATTCAGTCATACAATATAATTAGAATATATCATTAAACAAGATGCACAAAATCAACAATTCAAGGATGTATGCCACATAAAAATAAATAAGGCAGAATTAGGCTTTATATTACCAAATATTATGGTATTATTTATTGCAAAAATTATATACATTTTATAGTAAATTTGAATGTACATACATGCTTCATCGATGCTGTCATTGTCTTGCCGTGGGGTGCTTGATTTTGAAGGTGGGGATAGATGAAGTGTTGATGCACTGGAATCAGCATCATAGTCACTTGCCACTGCAGCAGAAGGTTCTTCGTCCAGACGGGCTCTCTTGGAGGGAGGGTGTTGGGCCTTCACAGGACTTCGGATATTTGAAAGTCGCTTCATGAGCTTTTTGGCAACAGTGTCCTGTACAACAGAACAAAAGCATCAATGAATAGTTTTGAAACAATGTTAGCAGAAAATATGGAGCTAAAAGAGTCTCAATAAAGATAAATGTACACTACATTCACATATGCACACACAGGATTCATAAATACACACACAGGATACACAAATGTGCACAAAATTCACAAATGCACACAAAAAATTAAAAAAGCACAGAAGATTCACAAATACATACAAAATTCAGAAATACACACACTAGGGATGTTAACGATTAATCGGCGATCGATTAATTGCCGATAATACATTTAATCGATAAACCTTATCGATCATCGATTAAGCAGGTTCATGCGCGTGCGTGCTGCTCAACCGCGAAACATGTAAAGCGAGCGCCCGGAGTTATGTTTGGGACTATTTTACACCTTCATCATGACTATAAGTTTGCGTGTGCATTCGCAGCCTTTTGTTTTGTGAAAATGTAAAGTTGTAATAGTTTATTTTGTGTACGCCTATCTATATCTGATTTAACGTTATCTCATATTGGATGCATTTGGTTAAGAATTGATGCTAAAACGTGATCTTTAGCGTGCGCAGCTCAAACGGCAATGCACGCCTAATAATGACTATTGGGACTGTCATATTACATAACATTATAAAGAGAACAATATTGTAATAAAACATTGTGAATTATTTGGGTTAGTTGCCGTGTCGCGTTGTTCCAGGAAGAGCACGTCCACAACATGAGTAGTTCTGAATGGCACGTAAGTTAACTTAGTTCAAGTTCACTTGTGCATTCACGTCATTTTGTGCAGATATAATTTGTAATATTATGTTTATTTTGTATATATCTGATTAGTAATCTCATATAGGATGCGTTTCTTTGTGTTAAATAACGAGCTAGCAAAGTGCTCAACGGTTATTCATTCAGCGCGTGCCGCTCAAGCAGCAATACATGACTAATAATAACGATGATTAATTTGGGTCTGTCATATTACATAACATGAGAACACTATTTTATTAAATTGTTGTGAATTGATTGGGTTTAGTTGCCGTTTTCAGTGCGTTGTTCCAGGAAGAGCACGCCACAACAGTCACACATTCTGACGCACGCATCTGAGGCGGCGTTGGTGACACGCGTTGTATTAGTCGTTATATTTGATTATTAAATAATTAATTTAATTTAATTAACAATTTCATCGAAACCATTCTCATTAATTTGGTGAGGAACATAGCGTATTTTAGCAGGATTTGCAGACCCTGTCATGCTATTGGCCATATGCCACTGCAGCAGACGCATATTGCAGTATTAAGGTTAACGATTAATCGATCGTTAATTTAAACGACGATCGATCATGGTAATTTGTGAAAATTGACATCCCTAACACACATAATTCAGAAATACAAACAAAATGTTGGAGACACACAGACTTATCTTCAATGGCACCATTTATTTTTAAGTATTACAGCTGTATCTTAATGGCATCTTTTTATGAATGAAGGCCAGTGTCACTAATATTATAGCTATTGATGTCTCGATTGCCACTTCCCTACTGAAACAACCGTTTTTTGGGGTCGACAGCTTATAAAAAAATATTTCTGGGTTATTTAGCTTGTTTGCTGTACACCTTGTCACATAGCAGCTTTTAGACATTGTTTTGTTTTTTGTTACAAGGAGGCAGCCTCTCGCAATGCAAAGTCAATGGAGATGGTTGGATTGGCCTAAATACGCTCTGTCTCTATGCATATAGCGCTGTGTGAACGCGTTCATGTGATTGGCTGATAAGTAAACAATCCCCCACGTGGGGTGTGTTCTTGTGATTGGCTAAAACAAGGGAAATATCTGATTGGTTGCAGATCATTCCCTTTTAAAAAAAAGGTATTTGTGTGTCGAGCCAAGTCAGGGGAGTCTCAAAATTCACACACAAATGCAGTGAAGTTCACAGACCGCAAGCAGTTTGTATAGATATATTTGTGTGTGCATCAGAAATACATTTCTGAATCTTGTGTGCATTTGTAAATTTTATTTGCATTTCTGAATTGTGTGTGTATTTATGAATTTTGTGTGCATTTCTGAATTTTGTATGCATTTGTGAATCTTCTATGCTTTTTAAATTTTGTGTGTGCATTTGTGAATTTTGTGCGCATTTGTGTATCCTGTGTGTGTATTTATGAATCATGTGTGTACATGTATGAATCCTGTGTGTGCATATGTGAATGTAGTGTGTGCATTTATCTTTATTGAGACTTTTTTAGCTCCATAGAAAAACATGCTTTAAATATAAATATTCAAGTAAATAAAGTCACTTACCCACTCGTGACTGGATCCAGTTGACTTATCTTTTATCATAGGGTAGTATTCCACTAACCGCTTTGCCATGGCAAGAACTTCATGTTTAGTGGGGTATTTGTAGTCATCTGAAGAGGCTCTTGCAATTGAGATCATATTTGTCATGGTATTTCGGATGAGCCGGCAGAAGAGCTCCTTTGATAAGGTGACTTCATCCTCTTTTCCAAGACGCTGCTGCTCAAAGTATGCGCGTCTCACGTGTTGTAGTTCACTATCAGTGAAGAGAACGTATTCTGGGCTGGGTAACTTCAAAAACTTTGAAGTGCTGGGGTCATCTCGTTTTGAACTTTCATTATGTTCATCATCTGCTGATGAACCTTGGGTTTCAACAGGAATTGTGTGCCCCTAAAATACGAATGTAGACTGTACATCATTCAAATCAGACAAAGTAATTTTATTTTCAGAGCATCACACTTGTATGTATAAGTGTTAGGGCTGTAACGGTACATGTATTCGTATTGAACCGTTTCGGTTCGAGGCTTCCGGTTCGGTACGCATACAAACCGAACGATTCCTAGGACCATTTTTCCTGCCGACAAAATTCGTGCTGGTGCGATCACCACAACGCTGCACAACATCAAATGGCAAGCGGAATGAAAGCGGAACGAAACTGCGCTACTCATTATGTGCTTCACGGATCACAGTTCGGACCAGCAACATCTGTGAGCGCGAGCCGATCTCGATCAAGCGACACTGTTACAACACAGCGCTAAGATCCAGTGAAGAAAACATTTGAATTCGCCACTGAAGTAATAACATCGCTGCATGATCTAGTTATAGGCTTTAAGTCCACAGATCAGCAACATTCACCATGGATTTAATATAGTAACACTAACTGTAACCAGTTTGGCTGGAATAGTGAAATGCTTTCAAGTACTTCACACATCTTTTTCCAGCACTTCAAAACTCAAATAATATATAAATAAATATATGAAGAGTTCAGATGCAAAAGCCTCTACGTGCCATTTGAAATTTTCTTCTAGAATGATAATTTTTATGAAGCTTGTATATTTAAGTTCAGTAATTTCACTCAAATGACAATTAATTAATAGGTAATCTTCATTGCCATTTAAAGGTGCCCTAGAATGTTTTTTATTATTATTTTATAATGTTTCCTGGATTACCCTTATAATGTTAGTATGTTTTTTAGATAAAAAATAATCATAATTTAGAAATAAATGGCATTTTTCCTAGCCTGCTTTTAGCCTCTGATTTGAACACTCTGTTTGAAGGGGCGTGTCTGCTGTGGGATTCAGTGTAACCGCGGCCACTGCTGTGATTGGCTGACATGCTTGCATATGAAATAGCAACGCATTACATGTGAAACTCTCTCCCGAATACTTTTACTACTGCTATTATACGTTTTTACTATAACAGCTATCGAGATTAACGAATCGTGAGATGTTTTTAAAGTATTTAGATCTATTCCCATCACATAAAATGTTGCCGTGATGAGCATTGAGCAGATGACAGTGTGTTGATCGCGAGAATGAAGATCTTATCATTGCAAAGCAGTTTTTGCACTCTCTCTAATGCTTTCACCAATGCAAACACGATGATGTAAATACAGTAAGAGCTTCGTTGTGCAGTAACGTGCGTCATTGATTTCATAACGAGTTTGGCAAGTGTCCAGATAAACTCGAGCTGTGTGGAAAGATTGTTCTTTGATCGCTGTCTGTATATAATTTGTTCACAAATTAAATACGATTATTTTCATCCTACTAAAAGAAACGATGTGAAGCTGATATTTTAGTCACTGGCTTGACTTACTGATGCATAAACAGTATTGAACGATTTTGAGAGAAAGATTACCTGTCTGAACTTGAACAATTACACATCAGAAAGTGTTGCTTGGTAGCTCGATCCGAGGCCAGCTCTGTATTGGCCCAAGTTGAGGAAACACTCGGTGAAATGTTTGAAAATTTCCAGAGAAAATAAAATTAACCCATTGTTTCTTCAGAGGCCCAGATGAAGGAACTAAAAAATACTTTTGTGTTCATGTGTACATCCACACTGAGCGACTGCGATGCTTCGGCTGCGCAGTTCCGCCTGGCATTGAGGGCTGGCATTATGCAAATATTTGGAGGCGTACATATTAATGATCCCGACTATTGCGTCACAGTCGGTATTGTGTGGAGAACCGACCGTTTTTCAGGGGTGTTTTTCATTAACGTGAATTAAATGAGAACGCGAAAACAGTCCAGTTTGAGATTCACTCTATGTCATGTCCATGCACTGAACTCTTGTTATTTGACTATACCAAGGTAAATTCAATTTTGAATTATA